ATGCGCGTCGTGTTATATATTTTATTATACCTATTGATGAGCGAATCGTGAGGAAAATACTACGTCGAGTTAGGGCCGGTACTTTCAAATAATGATGGGGAGGTTATAAATATACGAATTTGCCGACCGATACCTAAAACAAAAATCTACCATATTAATATTAATCGATTCGTTGATGATTGCCAACTATATAAAAAGGTCATTAATAGGTAGCGGGTATTGCAACACCGTCCTCGCAACTCTAGTACTGGGTAGAGTATGGTTAAAAGAGTTTATTAGTATGCTTATTATTTATACATTAATCGATAGTGGTTTAATTAATCATTTTAGCGTTTTCTAACCGTATACCGTTGTTATAAATTATGTCATAATGATTATTATTATAATTTTATTATTCCGAATTGAATTAAAATTGAATTTAAATTCTTAAGATAAATTATCCCGTAAAACTTTCAATTGTAATGGTATTTGTTTTTTAAAATAACATGACAAAAATGGAAAACTCAATTTTGCATACCTATTCATGTTTTTGAATTAATGTTTTGCGATGACTTATACTTCGTTCTTATTATTACATATTTTAGGAAATGTTTGCAATTTTAATAGTTATCTATTTTTTACCTTTAGATAAAAAAAAAAAGAATAAAAACCAAGAGAAATACGCAGAAACCATAAGATAAATAATAAATAATTTAAATGTTTAATGCCTGTATGTTCTAGTAATTATGTTACTAAAATTAAATGGAAGTAACTTTAGAGTACCTACTAATGATGTACTGCCTGTATACATATGTTATGTATTTTAAATTTGTTAATATTTATCGATATTAAATTTTATAAATTATATATACATATACGTGCCATAGTAGTTAAAAAGTTTTCTTTCGATTGATATGTGTTATAAGGAAGCTAGTTAAAGTAGCGTTTAAGACTTATCACATTAAAGGATTGTTTTATCACGGATCAGTCAATATCTCTTTAAATAAGACAGACTTTTGTAATAACTTTCTAATAAAACTTAGTATTTCTTATTGAGTCCTGATATATTGCATTATTCATATAAACTTCACATAAATGTTTTAATTTTTAATGGTTGTATTTGAGGTTATTAACTTTTTTATTTGTAAACAATTTGAACGTCGAAACAAGCAAAGAAACCAATTATCAAAAATAATTAATGTTTTATACATCACTATTATCGTTGATGGCCGTTCTCGTACAAATCAAGACTAAAAATTTACTCTAACTGCCTTCAGACGAAAGTTTGAAAAAAAACGTGTGAAAAAAGGTTAGGTATTACAATATACACTATATTATAATATATAGGTACATATACAGAGGGATCCGTTTAGATGAGCTGTCGTTATTCGTTCTGTCTGTAGACTTGCATACACCTTATAAATGCGGATACGACCCTTACCTTAACCGTAGTAATGATAATCCGCTTCCGATACTGTACACAAAAATAATACATGAAGTAAAACATACTTCCGGCGCATATTGTCGAGCACCGCCTGCGGCCATGTGCAACGATAATTTAATTAGTCGGATAGAGACAAAAAATCTACTCAAATGTCAATGATGATATCGTTTGGATATCACACACTTTCCAGGTACACGTGAGTGAGCGAGTACGTGTAATATCATGTGCAGCTATACGTGTGCAAATCCGTATAAGGTTGCGAGTTGGATTTTTTTTTGTTCGGAACTATATGTATTTAAATATATCACTCAGGATAAAGGATCAGGCAAATAAAATACGTACGTAAATTTCTCATTAGCGGATTTATTTTTATTTTTATACCGTTTATCGTAAACATACGGATTCGAATGTAATCGCGGCGTATATGAGTCTCCGAGCCAAACGCCCAGGAGAGAGAGGGGGGGGGTGAATTGTGGATGCTGAAATCGTAAAACAAATTACTGTGATTTCGTAATACATGTATTCACGAGCGTAATTTAAGGACGCCAATCTTTAAATCGAGGGTGTTAAAAAAAACCCAAGGTGTCCATGCTTTCGAAATTGCACCAAAACGTCGTTTATTATTTTATCGAATACTCGACGTTAAATGACGGATGAGAAGTGCTCGATGTCCTGTTATTTCGATTATTATGCATATTGCATCTTTTCAAAAACGCTCTTGCGAACTAAAATGGTTCGCAAGAACGTTTTTGCACAGAATTTTATTTTTTCACTTTCTCTCATTGCAGCCCGAATGAAACCCATGCGATTTATCGATTTGGTCTGGGCACATGCCGCACTTCTACCATCATGATTTTTACCCCTGTACGGTTCATGCGGGGGTTCAATCGCACCGTACTATTATATACAGTATAACGAAGTGCACATCTACAGTGGTGTGTGTGAAATATTTTAATCCTTTGTGAATCCTTTGATATGTTATAATACATAATGTGTATTTACGATCATCGGCCATCGTTTTTTAATGATAAAAAAATGTATCAGCTGCAAAAGTAAACAGTTATTTTTTTTGCCAGCTTTCCACGATGAAAGCTGTTCTTATCCTGTAAATTTACATAAAATAATCTTTTGTTTCACGCAGCAAATGTAGATATTCATTCCTACGCATTTAGGTCAATATCGTATTGTGTAAAACATAATTTTCTTGTATCGTTTGTCGATACTCAATACATTTTTCCCCATCGGAATTCACCCCGGAGTTCACTGGCTGTCAACCACACGTCCAATATATTATGTATTTATTTATTATTATTAAACTTAACATTTAATATAGTACATCGTTTTATGATATTACGTAAGGTATATACATTTATTTTTTCGCTACACACCGCAGGGAATATAAAATACGATTTACATAGTAGTATATGACATTTTTAATTATGTTTTATCTAAATGATTTTATTTGTTTCCTTTTATTTTGTTGTTTAAAAAAGTAAAATAAGAAAAAAAAACAATGGATTCAAGTATATTATGCTAGTCTTATAATTTGAATATTTTTAAAAGTAATATGTACATTGTAATCGATAAAAGATTCTGAGCGAAAATCGGGTTAAAATATAAATGTTTTGTGTGTTCTTATGTAATATATTAGGTATTATTGAAACTTAAATAATAAATTATACCATTATGGACATTTTAAAGGTTTGTATTCAGTCTGTGTTTCTTAAACGGAAGCAATTATTATTATGATAATTTATCATAAGAACATGTTACACGATGTATACTTAATTTATGGCATTACGTAAATAATTTTTAGCTCTTAATTTTGACAAGTTATGTATGTCTCAATAAACCTCAATCGTTTAAATAGTCGTAATTATTCAGTCAATGTCACGTTCAAAGGTAATGAATATAAATATGAATAATTGATAATAAGTGTTTGCTTTTTGCAACGTTTGGTATTAATAAAGGAGTAAACAATATCATAATGAACGGTGATATATTTAGAATAACAGGTGTTTTGTGTTCGTGAATACATAATGCCGAAGAATTTACAATGTCAGGTCATATATTTTACCTTGTATTCACCATCAAAATTTGAAATGAACAATAGGGGCAAACAATATGTATTTTAAATGATCGAACTTAAAGAATCGTACAGAGATAATATAATTATTATAGGTAGGAAAAATTAAATTTTTGTTTTTTTTTCAAAAATTCGGAAAGCAAATTGGAAATTACACTACGTGGGAACCGATTTGAAATTTTAAAGAAAAACTTAAAAATTGAAAAGTAAATCATGTAAAATTATAAAGTAATATGCAACATAATAAATAAATGGCGTATCAAAAATATCGTGGATTTTGGATAAACGTGAAATATTACTTCCTTACTTGTTTTTATTATTTTAAACCCATGATTATTAATTAATGCATGCCTATGATTGGTTTGTGTAGATGTCTATTTTGGGGTTTCGTTTGTCTCATCGCGAGTACGTGTACAGTAGTGCTCTGCACGGTCCGTTATTTTAAAGACCAAACCGGACTTTAAATTTTACCAAGGGACCGAAGTCGGACCGGACCACACTTAAACGTTAATCAAACACTAAAATTAGACCGAACAGAAGACTTCATATTATTTTTAGTAATTCAGTAATTAAATAACATTTAATAAAGTAGACCATGAACCAGACTTTCGGTTCGATCTTAAAACATTTTGGACAGTTTATGGACCGGTCCGTAAGGTTCAGTCTGTATTAGTCCAGACCGTATCATATGATGCGTTTAGTATTACACTGGACCAAACTACCCAACTTTATAAATAAATATTTACCTAAATTTGTAGGTTTTTTTTGTTTTATTTGTTTTCATAACAATATCTATATTTAGATTTTAAGTACCATGATTGGAACCGAACTGAGACCGGACCGGACTAATTTTCATTTTATTTTTTTGAAACCGGACCGGACTGAAAATAATGCATTAGATCTGAAGACTGGACCGAACTACTCCTAAAAATTATTGAATCGGACCAAACCGACGATTCAATAGTTTTTGTGTTAGGACCGTACTAGACCGAACTATGCAGAGCGCTACTGTACAGCGATTCGAATCACCTAAGTATTTGCCATTAATGTAAAATAAAATAACGCCAACGCTAAAACGGTGTTGACAACTTCATTGATGATACTTGACCTCCATTTTCGTTTATACTCTGCTGCGGGTTTAATATATACGTAATATATGTGTCGCTGTACAATAATTTTGCATAATTGTTTGTAATCTACTAGTCATGCGTACGACAGAACTTATAAGTACCAAAATATACGATTTCGAGCTGCAATAGAACGCTGCTACGTGCGTTGTTTGTTAGAAGGGCAGAAATTCGTTAATAAATATATAGAGGCTGATTAATCCCCCAATGTGTACAATGAATTCTTAAACCGTGACGTAGTAGACCACTTGCATAAATCACATTAGTTTTATGCGTTTTAATTATTGGACATTTTCCAAAAAAAAAATACGGTATACAGCTTTAGACATTTTAACGTTATTCCGGTTTTTTTTTTGTTTTGCAGATCAAAATCGTTTATTACCTTGTCGAGAGTGACAAAAATGTACAAGTAACATTAATCACATTTACGCTGACGAAGAAAATCGATTAGGTACATAACGATTTGGTAACGAGCATTTTTTTTTTTACCGTAGACGTCTCTGAACTGTGGTCAAATGTCAAGTGTAGAAACAGTTTACTGAAGTAATGTAGTAAAAACATTTTCAGAATGAGCCCTAACGCTACAGACTCGAGTACCATACTCAGGGAGGAAAGGAAGATCCCGAACGGTTGTACGAATGGATGGCCCAGCATGTCGGATTCGACTGAGAAACAATGTTGGAAAGGTCAAGCTTTCCTCAAAATCAACGAAATCGTCGCTCTAGTCAAGCACTACAGTTTGCGAGCTTATATCATATTTTGGCGTTAGTACATTGCGTAATAAACACCGTGTTTCCGGCATCCGGTGCTCATCAAAAACTCATTTTGCAGACGAGCTGTCGATGAACCCGAGGGTGAGGAGCAGTCCTTTCAGTCCTCCCCCCGCCGACGAATTGGTCCTGTCCAAATCCGACGTGTTCAGTACGAGGCGTCGACGATTGTTTTTCTTGAGCATTCATTTACTGGCACTGGCCGGTCTTTACCTATGTGTCACTGGTCAGGTGAAGTTGTACACCGTTATGTTCGGTAAGTTTTCTAGGTTTTCCATTAAATAATAATGTTTATCAGTGACGTTTGTGGGTTGTTCATGATTTCGGATATTGGGTTTCGAATATTAGAACCTAGATTTTGAAATTAACATCATTGATTTACTTTTAAGTGTATAATATTAGATACGCGTAGAAAAAATTGTAATTCATAACAGCTTATACATACAATTTATTAATATTTTTAATTTATTTTCACCTCGCTGAGGCACTAAAGATTTGGTATGATTTTTAAAGGATAAACTCTTCACTAAACTTTGAGAAATTAGTAGAAGAAATTAACGAGATAATAAAGAATGAATAATAAATCTTAGTTGTCGTAATCCATCAAAAACCCAAATATTTTATTTCATCTTTCAATTTTATAACACCTTGATTTCTAAACTTAGAGAATCTAATTTTGTCAATGATAAACTAAATTTGATTATTTGCAAAATTAATAATGAAAAAACCTAATTGTTATTTTATATTTTGGTCCTTTTATGAAAAATATATCAAAATTGTTTTAACTGTTTATATTTTTGGCTTGGGAAATGTATATAATGGAACTCTAAAAAAAGTAATGATAACTTATTTTTAGTAATACAAATAATACTCTTTTGAAAATGTGAACGGGTTGGAGTTGTCATAGTTGTCATGAATCTGTCATAGCGTAGAAATTTTTTCCAGTCATTTTTTTTTGTTGCTAAAAAATTTTACTTAAATTTAAATGAAAATACCCTTTAAAATAAAAATAGAAAAATTCATGAATTTTTTACTACAACAATATAGCGGATTTTCATGATTTTTATCGTTTCGTTTAAATTTTATATTAAAATGCTAGTGATTTTTGTTTTTTTTTTTTTGATATTAAGCTCAATTTTTTTCTTTAATATGTAATATATATATGTCTAAAGTGCTTAATATTATACTTATATTTTCAAGACTTAATGTCTTACTGAAATTATTTGATTGACATTTTTTAAAAAAAAGTTCAAAATCTTTTGAATATTATACCATCTATAACAAACGGTGATACGATTGTTCAGTGAAAATGTTAAGTCTCTATTTTGTTGAAACCTGTATGCCGTAAATATTTTTATTACGTTACGTATGTTTTTCGCAATTATTAAGGAAACTGTTGGGAAATCAATTAAATTAATCGTAAGTTAATATTAAAAATCCACGTTTCGTTCAGAATTTAAAATCGTAACACAAGACCAAATCAATATATGAAATATTAATAAAAGCATATTTTGTACACTATACGAGTGGAAACTTTTTAACGAACACGAGGAATCTGTAATCTGTCGATCAACGTTTACGCGATCAGTGCAATGTTACGTTTCACGATTTGCCCCAGATACGCGTTTTCCGAATGATTCGAACAACATAACACCGCGTGATTCGGTTGGGAAGTCCGGTCGACCCTCGTGTGGCGTATTACCGATTATTGCCTACAGAACTTGTGCTTCCGAGTACTCGTGCTGCTTCAGTAGTTGACCGAAAACGTGTTTTTGTTTCGGTGCGGTTGCAGCGATGGCGTGGGGCACCATGTCGTCGATCGGCGTGACGGCCGGCGCGCACCGGCTGTGGTCGCACCACGCGTACAAGGCCAAGTGGCCGCTGCGCGTGCTGATGGCCCTCAGCCAGACGGTTGGCGTGCAGTACAGCGTGTACAACTGGGTGCGCGACCACCGGCTGCACCACAAGTACACGGACACGGACGCGGACCCGCACAACTCGAACCGCGGGTTCTTCTACTCGCACGTCGGATGGGCGCTGATCATGCCGCACCCGGCGTTCGAGTCCAAGGTGAACACCGTCGACATGGCCGACATGGAGGCAGACTGGGTGGTCATGTGGCAGTACAGGCTGTACGCGCCGCTCGCGTTCCTCCTGTCGTACGCGCTGCCCACCGTCCTGCCGTGGTGGCTGTGGGGCGAGGACCTGCTGGTCGCGCACCTGGTCGCCGCGCAGCTCCGCCACGTGCTCACGTTGCACTCCACGTTCCTCATCAACAGCGCCGCGCACATGTGGGGACTTAGACCGTACGACAAGTGAGTGGGGATTCGCTCCCGAAATACCCTACCATCCTCTACACCCACCCCTCCCCTCAACGTGGTACCGGCGCCCGATTGAAACCGATCCGGATGCGAGTTAATACGAAATTGAATGAAAATTAATAAACGGTTTAACAACTTGTAAATCTGTACATGAATAATACGAGGAAATAAACAAACAGTAATTAATGATTATAAACGTTATAATTAATTATGATTAATCATCATTATTAATCTTAATGAATGTGATTAATGAGCATTTGTTTGTTTACTTCTACGTGTAAACTGTTTATTTGTACATCTCGGTCACGATCCGAATTTCCGTCTCAATTCGATTTCCGATTCGAATTTTCTTTATCTCATCGTAAACGTTGGATTCAAACATTTTTTCGTTGTACGGAATTCAAGAGTCCGGATCAAACGGATTACGGCATTTATTCGTAAGCTCGCTGAGGACTCCGAAACACGACCCTTGTGATCGCACGTACGTTTGTTCGCCGTGTTATAGTGCACTCGAGCGGGCTTTTTTTTTTCTAAACTTAAATTCGCGAGATAATAGTTTAGAACATTGTTCAAATTTGTTCAAACATTGTTCATTGTTCTTTCCGAAAGTATTTTCAAACCTATATACGAAAAATGTACTACAACGCCGCGACGTATTTTATATTCACGTGAGTATTCGTTGTATAGCACTCGAATGTGACGAAATCCCTCGGGATAACCGTAGATGTCGTTGAACCGTCAATTTTCTGCTTTTGTCTGCTCCCTTTCGCGGTACCCCGAAATGGATTGCTTTTTGTCCCGTAAATCGGGTTTGTTCAGCGGCCCGTCCACCGTGGTCCTTCCGCCCGTCCGTCGCACCGACCTAACGTTAACACCGTGGTCCCGCCGAACTAGCCGCGTTGAACATGCGTACCAAATTACATACATCGCCGTCGCGTTTACAACCGGGAAACGACCCCGTAGCGCGTGACAATATTCAGATCCTGTGAACACGGTGTAACGGTAATTGTGATTCGTGGACCGTCCGCGGTCGTTGTTTTTCCGCAGGAACATCAACCCTACCGAGAACATGTTGGTGTCGGTGGCCACATGCGGCGACGGGTGGCACAACTACCATCATACGTTCCCGTGGGACTACAAGAACGCCGAGCTGCTGGACTACAAGCTGAACCTGTCCACGTTGGTCATCGACATGTTCTCGCTGATCGGGTGGGCGTACGACCTGAAGACCGTGCCTGCCGAGCTGGTGAACAAACGTGCGCTGCGCACGGGCGACGGCACGCGCAAGAACACGGGCGCTGGTGACGCTTCGACGACGTCGCCTCCGCCACCGCCGACCAACGTATACGGTTGGACCGACAACGATTTGCCCGAGGAAGACCGGCAAATGGCTCAAATATACAAAAAAAGCGATTAGTACGGGAATGGTGTTTTACCTATTATTTTTTTTCTGTTTTTTATTATTATTATTATATCATAATCTCTTTTTTTCTCTCTCGATATATTATTTGATTTCAATACTTGTTAAAAACTTGTGTTTTTTTTCTTCTTTAATTGATTTTTAGAAATAATATAATAATATTATAACAATTTTAAGCGCGTCCGGAGTGGTGGGAAACTTTGAAATGACAGCTAAGAGGACACCGCCGTGGTGTTGGGAACACTATTCTTTGTCGGGATGAAATACCATTGGAGTGTGTAATATAATGTTTCAAAGTGTCCACGACTCGGGGAGTCGTCCGTGTATAAAACGACGTGACGTGTTTTTAGTTATCAAGAAGACTGGGAGGAAAGAAGACTCGCCGAAAATTCGAGTGATGATAATATATTATTTTAGGGTGACTTTCGGTTAACATTATCCTTACACAAGCAAATACAACACTCACATCTTTGTGGATAATATAGTGTTAGAATTTCCAATATATTATCATGCTGTAATAATATAGCGACGGTGTGTTTGATGTGAAACGAACAAAAAAAAAAAAAAAAAGGTGTGATTGATAGACCGATCGATTTGCCATTTTATCGTACATCTTTTTTTTCCTCTTTTTTTTTTCTTTCTACACACTCGCTAAAATTTTTTTGCTTATAACAATAAACTTTTTCTTACCAAACACATACACACACACGCATAACATACCACGTACTTATCGTTAATCTCTCTGGAAATGGTCTTTGAATTTAGAGAAACACTGTTTTTTTCGTGCAATTATTTTAGTATGTTGTACGGATAATATACATATTATATATATTACATGTTTTGGTCACAATTAGAACAACATTGTACGTTATTGCTAAATATATAGTTTAATTTTATTTCGCATACGTGAAATCTCAAATACGTGACGCGATTACGATAAAATATTTTGTGTACAAAATATCATCCCAAACGAACGTTTATGCCGAATAAAATAATCTCCGAGTGGCATGTGGACACACACACGCACGCACACATGCAAGTATATAGTATATATATATATATATCATCATGTAGAGACGGTCTCGCTTCACCTAAACCAAATGTTAGACGATTTTTGAAGTTTTAAAAAAATGTAAATATTATAATAATTATGGTAGAAAATAAAATATCCGATCACGGTCAGAACGCGGCGATATTGACGGAGTATTATGTTATTATTATTTTTTCTATTCGAAATAAACTAAGAAAGTATTAACTTGCTTGTAAAGAGTTGTACAAACACATTTACGCCGCTAATGGAAGTTAGAAATTTTATCCATAAGGTGTCAAAAGGTTTTTTCTTTTTTTAAATTTCGCGTAAATTCAAGTAAATATATACATCGCCCACGCACTACTTTTCACCGTCAAGCTTTATTTATCAATATTATTCTATTCTGTTCCCATTTTTCGTTTAATCTCTCACTATTTATAAAATACACATTCGTCTGTGTATAATAATCGACTTAATACATTACGGATTAAATAATATAATATAACATCGTTATTATATATACATATGTGTGTGTATAGTTATTATATTACACATGCGCGTTAACTATATTTTTAGACTTAAACGAGAAATTCGAGACAAATTCATGTCTGAGTACGAACATTTTCCCGTGCTGTATTTACAACAGTAACGACGAGTTCTCATTGTACTTGGAGATTCGTGAAGTGATTTAACGCGTATCACATACACATGCATTCAATATAATTTAGGAAAGTATTCCAATATTTAGTCAATTTTATTGTTTAAAAACTCATTAACTTTTAATATTATTTCACTCGTTTATCAAACTTTAAGTTCTTTCTCTCGATTTTTGTATAATCGAACAGAAATATAGGTATTTTTTAGTCGGTTAATTAATTATTATTATTATGTCTGTCAAAAACTTTTACTGGCTGTGCTCAATAGTATACCTATTTATGGAGTAAAATTATTTGTAATTTATGATTAGTTTTATTCTATTTTACTTTTTACCTAATTGGGTAGCATAATCTGGTTGTTATCTTAAGTAGTAAAATATTATTTATTTTTGTTACCGAATAAAGTAATGCGTAACTTTATTAACTTTAAAAATAATATTATATAAATTTATCTATATAAATATTTTGTTTGACGTCCTTGATGAAATGCAATGATCTATTGTAAACATTTTTCGTTGCGTCTTCATGCAATTAATATGAATAAATATCTTATCGTTTACCATTTATGTTTAATATTATATAAAAATATAGAATTATATATTATTGCATTTTTATGATTATTTAAACTGTGAAGGAAAAAAAAATATCTAACTATTTTTACACAGTTATTATTTCATTCGTTCTTTGTATTATTTTTAGTCCGTTAAATAATTATCATGATGTAATAACATATGTCATATCCTTTTATCAATATTTTTACACAAAAGTGTGGCATAAAAATAGAATTATATAATAATTTAACAAATCGTAATAGAACTGTTTCTTATCCGCTGATGATTAAGATGATAATGTTAAAATATTTTATCAATTATTATAATATTATAATCGTAACAGTATGTCATAACGTTTAATTATTTTGATTTTTGAATTGCTACAAAATTATTTATTTTCGATCTATTATTAAAAATATTTATAAGATGTCTTAATAATTGTTAGATTACATAAAACAATTACTAAATTGTATTTTTTTATGAACTATCGAAATAATTTTAATTAAAAATTTGTACCTTATAACTTAACATAATTACGTATATAACGAAGCCAATATAAAATTAACTGTAGTTTTATTGAAATAATTTTAATATTCACCACACACGATTAACTATAGGTAGTATTAATGTTAACTTATAAATGATACATCTACCCTTGTATAATTTTAACTGTACAATAAGTGTGTTGAATTATAACTATAGCTTAAGTTAATCTTAAATGTAATTGTTTATTTTTGTTTACATCATCAATTTATAGTTATAATATTTGTAAAATTCATAAACTTCTTAAAACCGATTTTACAAGGTTAGTGTTAACTACGATGGCTTTGCACCCGAACAGTTTAATTGGGTTTTGGGTGTTTAGCATATTTGGAAATCGTGATTCGAAATTTGTCAACAAAATATTAATAATTTTGACCATGTGTTGTTCCGTGCTAATCCGTATCGCAATAAAATTGCGAAAATAAAAATAAAATAATAATTATATCCCAACGATGATTTTATACCTCGAACGTAGTACTGGCTGCTAATATTATACGGTAATGTACGTGTAGAATTACGTACACAATTGGCAACAAATAACGATTATTATTATTGAAATATTAATGTATTCTTTTAAAAATTAACTTGTTTACAAGATATTCTTTTGAGAAGACTGGGCGAAGTGCGGCCAAATACTTTAATTGTTATAAAGTATGCATTTTAACATTTTAATATAAATTTTCAAATATTAAAATATTACTTTTTTTCATTTTCGCGAAATACTTCATAAATAAATAAAGTTTTGTTATGATTTTTTTTTGTGTGTTTGATGAGTCAGATAACCAATAGTTTTTTTCAAATCAATTAAATTAAATTAAAAATTTTTATTGTCTTACGTTATAAATGTACAAGGATTTTGGTATGTGTGTTTATATTAAGTTTTTTGGACAATTCGGATGCAAAGCTTTAGTTGTATAATCTTTAATATCATATTATTTGTAGATATTATAAATAGACCAATACTTAGGGTAAAAGTTATACTGATAAAAATTAAAATATTTTTAGATTACGTTTAAGATTTTAATAATATTTCATACTCTCAAGACATGTAAAAATCAAGATTTATAGTTTGAGTAACAGGACCAAGTGAATTGTAGATAAGTGTATAACAAAAATCAAAAAATATATTGACTACAAATTTTACTTTATGAATTTTTTTTTTCATTTGGATTATTAATATTTACATGATTTTTTAAATTGTTTAATAAAATAACTGGGATGCACAGTAAAATTGATGGTAAACAATATCTATAGGATGTCATAAAAACATGACAAACTCAAGGACATCAACAATGCTTTTAACATCTTGACAATATCCATTGACTATAGCATAAAACTACATCACACAATATATTATGACACATTTCTTAGAATTTTTTTGGTATACTGGGACATATTAATATTACTTTAACACTTTTAAGTTTATTTACAATTTATCAGATCATAATTATTGTAATTTCTTTTTTTAACTATTAGAACCTCAATAAAAGGTCCGATGCAATAATGAGATAACTGCACTTTTTGAAATTGTTCAGGGGACATAAAAAGCAGCTCACTAACTCCCTTTGATCAAATTACGGTTTTAAAAACTGATTTTCATGCTTTAAATGTGTATATAATATTATATCATATCTTATTACTTTTGGATATTCTTAAATAATTTTAATTAATTAATTTAAGTAAAATTTAGTGGAGATATATGGTTTTTTCCCTAATATTAAAATCCAATTTTTTTACATTTATGAATAATACTCGCAACATTTACATTACACAATATCAAAAAACATTTAAAATGCCTAGAAATATCTATAATTATGATCATTCTACTATCAAAATCATTCATGATAGTTAATTTGAGCTAATTAAATGTTTTAAGGTGATATATATGGTTATTGACCCAAAATACGAGTATAAGTAGTTTATGCGCTCCTCCAAGTAGCTATGATATCCTTCATAACTAACCTAACTTTTCAAAGACACTTTAGGTGAGAGATTTTAATTTTTAAAATTCCTACCATTATTTTTGATTATAAAATAAAAAAGTATTGTATATTATTTTTAAATTAAATGTAATATGTACTATTACTTAATGAGTGAATTCTTCTATTGTAAATACTAAATATTATATTTACAAAACGAAGGTTACAGTGGTAATAAAACGTTAGAATAAATAATATATTATATTATATTTATGCTGGTTAATAAATGTGTAAAGTACAATGTTGATATTGTTTGGAGCAAAAATGAGATACAGTACGTGTCCAACTCCCGACAGTGAAGCACGTGTGTTAATTCATCGATCACTTGTGCGCCTTTATCAGCTCCCGATAGCATTGTGCAATTAAGACGATCATCGACGCTCGGCGTACAGGTAATATGTTCCTTATCGTTATAATATAATACCATTAGCAGAATAAAGTATAATGAATAATAATAGACGGTCAGGCTATATGCCGACATCGTCTCAACGGGCCAAAACACAAAGTGGAATTACAGCCCAAAATATTAAAACAAACCTCAACTCAAAAACAATCACTACTAAATCAACCACCACACCAAATAAAAACCAAGCTACAGGCGGATCACGCATTCCAGACACGGGGCGTGATAAAGCAAACGTTACGTACGATACAACAACTAACACCGATAACAACGGAATATCGGACGGCGAAAAGTCAGATAGCACCGCACACATAAATGAAACCGTAATTAAAAGTCCCACACAATCTGAAACACCAACAATCATATCTAATAAAACACTAAACTATGCTAACGCAACAGCTAAAGAAAGTAACCCTCAAAGAGACCAAGCTATTTTATTTAATTCCATCGAAGGAATACCACAAATAGAATATATAAAAGCAATAGGCCAAATAGTAACACCAAAGAACATCCTGTTTGTATCTAGAATCTCAAACAACCGTTTTTGTGTATTTCTTAACAACAAATACACTGTGGACTCGCTCATTGAAACAACAAAGTATATCACAATCAATGGAAATGAAATTCAATTACGAAGACTTATAAACCCATCCAAAAGAATAGTGATCTCCAACGTTTGTCCATCCATTCCAAACGAAAAAATTTTATCCGCACTACAGACTATCAATATAACACCAATATCCCAGATTAACTACCTTAGAGCCGGAGTAAACATGGCAGGATATGAACATGTTTTAAGTTTCCGGAGACAAATGTACATAAATGACAATGATGTTACTAAACTCCCTGGGTCGCTATTGATCATGCACAATGAAACTCAGTTTAGGTTATTTTTTTACTGATGATAAAATAACATGCTTTACATGCAAAACGTCGGGTCACGCTACCTTTTCATGTAAAAAACACATCAACATCACTGAAGACAATATAAACACAAACCAGAATACTAACACAACAAATTGGACAAACAACACAAACGTACCAGTCGAGTCGACAGAAGATATCCCGCCCCCGTCAAGCCCTCATTCCGACGAAAGTCCTATAAGTCCCGGGTTGGAAAAAAATCAAAATAATTGAAGAAAGAACCCTAAACCTTAAACGACCGGCATCTTTCACATCAACACCCTCAAACCCACCTAGCCCTAGAAATGATTCAAGCCAAGACAACATTGCAACACTAAAACCACCAAAAAAAGTGCTAATAGTAGAAAATAAATCAGATTCTAATCAGCCAACAAATACCCCAGAAAACAGGTCACGATCCACTTCAAGAAACCGATTTTCGAAACATTTGGATACACACCTGAAACCTATTAAACACCTCTTTGAAGATAAAACACAATTTAACATATCATTCGACCAATTCACTTACATCATAGAAAACATCCTTAAACAAGATAATCCATTAAACGCTATAAAAGAATATGGAATCGATGGAAATGAAATAATATCGATAATCGAAACTACTAGGCCATACCTCACCACGAAAATAGCTAAAAATAATTACACTCGCATTGCAAACAAAATGTTTAAAGCGCTCGATATCGAAACCATAACAGAGCCGATCCAATCGGACTCAAATGAAAACTAATGATAAACACAAACTTACAAAAAACAACCTTAACCCGCAAACCATATAAAACCCATATAAGCTATTTTATTTTTACTAAGATGTTCACGCTACTCCAATGGAACCTTAATGGTTTTTTTAAAAAACTTGATGAACTAAAAATTATTATCACAGAAACCCAACCAGAAATAATATGTCTACAAGAAACAAACTTTAAATACGACACCTCAGGAAAATTACCAAACTACACTGGATATAGTAAATACCGAACCACCGGGGCAAGAGCAAGTGGAGGTGTAACAATATACGTAAAATCCGAATTTCCCTGTAAAATTATCAATATAAATACGCACCTCGAAGCCACAGCAGTAACAGTCAAGTTAAGACAGCTAGAAATTAACGTGTGCAATATGTATATTCCTAACCAACAAGACTTCACACAAAACGACATAGAAAATATTCTTAACCAAATACCCTCACCCTTCATTATCAACGGAGACTTTAATAGTCACCACACCTCATGGGCATCCAAGAGCACCGATAGGAGAGGAAAAGAATTTTACAAATCAGTGGATAATGATAATATAGTAATATTGAATAACAATGAACCCACTCACATAAACATAGCAAACGGTTTAATGTCCAACATCGATTTATCACTTTCCAACTCAGCGCTAGCACAAAGACTTAAATGGAACGTATACAAAAACATTACTAGCAGTGACCATTTTCCCATCATCATCAAATACCTATCACGGACCAACGACTCTACCAAGGGTGAAAGGTGGAACTTAAAAAACCCCAATTGGTCACTATACTCAGAACTATTGGAAGAGGAAATTAATAATATAAAAGACGTCGAAACAGTAGACATCAATACACTAGTAAATACGTTTACCAACTCGATCATACAAACAGCAAATCTAACAATAGGCAAATCAACCACCAATAACAGGAAGCTCAAAGTACCATGGTGGAACCAGAAAATAAAATCCGCAATCGAAGATAAATATAAAGCATTAAAACAATTCAAACTCTCAAAAACCCAAGAAGACCTCATAGAACTAAAAAAACATAGAGCAAGAACCAGATATTTGATAAAATACAGCAAGAAGACATCTTGGGAAAATTTCACAAACAGCATAAATGAAAAAACCGACACGAAAATAGTATGGAATAAAATCCAATCCCTTAAAGGACTAAATAGAAATAGAAAAATCAATCTGATTAATATGAACACCGACGCACTAATTAACGAAGAACTAGTAGCAAACCAATTGGGGGAATATTTCTCTCAAAATAGCAGTAATACCAATTATACGACACAATTTCAAACTTACAAACATAAACGCGAAAAAGAAACTATTCCAAACACTTTAGATCAAAACCAAATAGACCAAATCCAATTAAACCTACCAATCACTATGCAAGAAATTATATTCACTCTAACAAAATGCAAAAGCCATAGCCCCGGCCCTGATAGCATACCGTACATTTTTATACAAAACTTCGGGCCAAACTCCCTAAAATTAACTTTAACGATATTCAACAGAATCTTCACTGAAGGCTTTTGGCCAAGTACATGGAAAAAATGGTACGGTAATACCAATTCCAAAACCTGAAAAAGATAAGTTTAAGTCCGATGGATACAAACCAATAACGCTCCTAAACACCTTGTGTAAAATATTGGAAAAAGTCATTAACTATAGACTTACTTGGATACTAGAAAAACATAAATACTTATCCAAACATCAATACGGCTTTAGAAAAAACAAAAACACAATCGATAACCTAACTCAAATTAACCATGAAATAAACCAGACTTTTAAAAAAAAAACAAATAATGGGGCTAGTCAACCTCGACATCTCAAAAGCATACGACTGTACATGGAGACATAACATCATAGTCAAACTAAACCAAATATTATGCCAAGGAAAGACACTCGATTTAATAACTGACTTCTTAAAAGATCGCACATTCAAGGTTAAAGCAAACGGTCATTTATCCAAAGAATTTACCCAAGAAAACGGAGTACCACAGGGTTCGGCATTATCTGTTACTCTATTTCTCTTAGCCATAGACGATATAACCCAAAGCTGTTCGCTACCCACAAAATGCAATCTATTTGCCGACGACTTTAGTTATTCATGTCGCAGCAACAATATAAGCTCAGTACGAAAACACCTCCAAACAACCACTGATAATTTAGTTGAATGGGCAAGAAACACAGGTTTTAAATTCGCACCAACAAAATCAAACCTCATAATATTCACTAAAAAGAGAAAAGTTGGTGAACTTCTAATTACACTCAATAACAAGCAAATTCCCATTAAAAAATCAGTCAAAATACTAGGTATCTTCTTCGACTGCCGACGTACATGGAAAACACATATACACTATCTTAAATCTTCAACCAGTCAATCATTAAATATTCTAAAAATACTTTCACACACATCCTGGGGAGGCGAATCTAGAACACTAATCAAAATTCACAAATCAATTATCCAATTGAAAATACACTATGGTTCAAATATATACAAATCGGCATCACAATCTATTCTTAAAAAAATAGACAGCACAAACAACACCGGGCTCAGGTTAGCAATAGGCGCATTCCGCAGCAGCCCAATTTATAGTATCTACAATACAGCCGGCGAGCCCATACCAGAGATTAAAAGAAAAGACCTATCACTTAAATATATAACTAGATACTATAGATCAAACAATACTAACCCACCACTTGAAGACAGCGAATCATATGATGAATTAGAAAAATACGGCATTGATCTCAAGCAACTAATTGTAAGAGAACAACTGTCCACACCTCCGTGGACTTCTCTATACGAGATAAATACCAACCTCAGTGCATTCTTAAAAACACAAACGTCCCCAGAAATGTTCAAAAGATACTTCCTAAGTATAATAGAAAATTATAAGGAATATCAAGAAGTATACACCGACGCGTCCAAAACACAGGACCAAGTAGGAATCTCAATAATACTCAAAAGCAAAAATATATTAATGAAGTTACCTAACACATGCTCTATATACACGGCCGAGGCCATAGCGATACTAGAGGCGATTAAATCAGTTATAGACGATGAATATCCCAAGGATATAATATTCAGTGATTCCTTGAGTACACTCTACAGTATTAAAAACCAGTTCAAACCCGGTGACATCGCTACAAAAATACTGAACAATCTGAATGAAGCCTTATCCAAAAATAAACAAATAATCCTCATGTGGGTCCCCGGGCAC